TGCTCATTTCCTTCCTTCCTGTAGTTCCCTGGGGCTGATTGGCCCTGAGTTTCCCCCATGTACTTTGCTTGTCAGTGTAGCTGGTCTCCACCAGGAAATATTAAAGCAGTTGAAGAGCACAGATATTTTAAGAGAAAACCAATATATAGGCTTCTTTGGAACAGAAATATTAGAACAGTTGGATCAAGAGATTAAAGTTAGACCAATAATCATCCCAAAAGAAATGGGGGTAGATATTAGCAACTTGAAATAAGATAAGCAGGGGTTGAGAGAAACAAATATTATGCATAAAAAGTACAATGGTTGGATAAAAAATGGATTTCCTACAAAATAGATATAATGGAGGAATCAAAACCTAGAGTAAGGAAAAAAAATATAGTACAAAGGAAACAGAAGAGTAGATACAGAGGTACTCTGATTTCATAGGGGTTTTAGAATAAGAATAATTTTCTTTTTTAGAATAAAAAATGAAAGCACTCATATTAAAAGTGTTTTTTTGTTTTGTTTTGTTTTTGGTTCTGGGGATTGAACTCAGAACCCTGCACTTACTTGTAAGGCAGGGGTGGCGCCACTGAGCTAAATCCTGGTCCCTAAAAGGTTTCTTAGAGCGCTAAAGATGATAGATCAGGAATCCTCACAAGATAGTCAAGACTGATCAGAGCAAAAGAAAACTAGTCGAGTCTCAGAACAAATCACATACAAAGGACCAAAATCAAATTGATGTTAGTTTTTAACAGCATCACTTAAGAAGACAAATGTGTTTCAGAGTATTGAAGGGCAGTGCATTTTTATAGTTGAACACATGCATTTAATTAGGAATGATAAAACATATTCTCAGGAAAATGTGATCTTAGAAACTGCTACTCAGCTGTGTTGAAGAAAGTATCAGAGTCCAGCCCACGTAAGAGATAGTTAAATAAAGGGGATTAGATTCCTTATGTGGCTTATTGCCTTAAAGGCTAAGGTAAACAAACAAATTATCTGTATCCCAGAACTTAAAGTTCATACAATATCCTGGTAAAGCTCTTACTAGCAGAGACAGAATTTTTAATGAAGGTAAGTACGTATTAAAAAGAAGCATAAATAAAAGTAGGACAAATTAGAATGCAAGAAACAGATCCCATATATACCAGTCATATAAATGGACTAAACTCACAGTTAAAGGTTAAAAATTGACATATCAATATGTTAAGTCCTCAAGGTCCAGACACACGTGTTTTACAAAGGGCTTGCCAAGTTGCTGAGGACATGCAGGCATTGGAAGTAAAGGTCAGGGAGAGACAGACCTGGAAATACTAGCCAAAAGAAAGTTTGCGTGATCATACTGATAGTAAAGAAAATAAACTTCAAGATAGAAGGTCTCATTTGGAATGGACAGTCACTTTACACAATGACAGTTTGGCAGGAAAATACAACAGTTTAAACCATGTATGCCTATGATTAAAAATCCTTAAAATGAGTGAAGCAAAACTGGTAGAACCACACTGGCTCAGGGGACAATCCCGGTACCATGGTTGGAGATTCCATTGCATCTCTTATTGTAGATCAAGGTGACATATTAGCAAAGATATGGAAACTTTTTACCAACAAGTTTAACCTACTGCACAGAGTTTGTGAACATTAGTTACGGAACTGATACCCGCCAGGCCATGTTGGGAACCTTGACAATTCCAGGGGTGCGTTTTGTGCAGAGGAGGATCTTCCCACACAGTAGCTGGATCCGAAGTTCATCACAGACACAAAAAAGAAATACACCATGCTTGTAAGCGTAGTTGTATAACTCACAGATTTAAGGAATTGTATAAAAATTTAAAAATGAGCTGGATCAAAAAGCAGCTCTAAGACATGCACAGTGGCACAAGCCTGTATTCCTAGCTACTTAGGAGGCTGAGGAGAGAGGTTCACTTGAGCCCACAAGTTGGAGACCAGTCTGGGCAACAGTGAGAGCCCCATATCAAAGTGACAAAACTGGGTGAGTAACTTGTAGCCTTAAATATTTAAAAAAGGAATAAACTAGCTTCAGAAATCAGGATATGACCAGAATAAATTCGGAAAAAATAGAAATGGTGAAAAGAGTAGGTGAATATCAGAAACAGCTCAGATCAAATTAACAATTTTTTTTTTCCCCTGTGGAGAAGTAGACAGCCTTTAAAAAGATTGAATTAAAAAAAAGATACAGTGAAGTATCCTGAATGCAAAGGAAGATGCATCTGTACACAAGAACAGTGGAAGATAAAGGCTTGCATAATCTAACATTCATGAAGTAATGATTTAAAATCTTCCCACAGAGAATAATGGGTTATACATTTTTATGATTATAAGGGTTTTTTGATCCTGGGGATTGAACCCAGGGCTTTCACACCGAGCTACACTCCCAGCCAACTAAAGTTTAGTTTTTATTTTGAGAGGGTCTCATTAAATTAATTGCTCAGACTGGGCTTGAATCTGTGACCCTCCTGCCTCAGCCTTCCAGAGAGCTAAGATTATAGGTATGCACCACCAAGTCTGGCTTGGGTTATAATTGAACAAGTGATCTTTCAATCTTTTAGAGCCCAGAAATCCTTGTTTTGTAGAATTTTTTAAAAAACAAAAATAAGAACTACTTAATTCATTGTGAGGCCCTCTTAACACCAGCATCCAGACTAGACAAAGATGATGGCAATTTAGAGACCCTTTTTGCTCATGAGTACAGATTTTAAAAAACAAAATATTAGCAAATCTAAGTGAACAATTTCAGAAACAGGATAATATACAGGTAGATGGCAGCCACCCAGCCTGGGCAGCCTAGTGAAGCCCTACCCGGAATAAGGGTGGAAAAGGCTGGCGGGCTGGAACTCAGTGCTCCCTGGTTCAGTTGCTAGTGATGCTGGCGCAAGAGTAGTGATAATGCTGAAAGATCAAGGTGGGCTTTCTTCAGATGTACAAGGATGTAATAGTAGGAAAACCATAAATGGAGTTTAAATTTCACGTAGATAAAAACACAAAAGTATTTATCTCAATCCAGGAGTACTAGTGCAAACATACTGCAAGCTCTCAGAGGCTGGGTGGGAAGATCACTGGAACTCAGGAACGTGTGACCAGCTTGGTCAGCACTGGGAGACCCTGTCTCAAAAAAGGAAGAAGGGGAGTGGGGATTTAGCTCAGTGGTTCCACCGCCAGCCTCGCAAGCACAAGGTGCTGAGCTTGATTCCTGGTACCAAAGAAGAAAGATAATAGGTGCAAGAAAGGCATTTAGTTTAATTTAATTTAATTAATATATTTTTGGTACTGGGGACTGAACCCTGGACTTTGTGCTTGCGAGGCAGGCGACGGAACCACTGAGCTAAATCCCTGAACCTAGAAAGGCATTTTATTTTATTTTATTTTTTGGTACTGGGGATCGAACTTGGGCCCTTGCACTTGTGAAGCAGGCAGTGGAACCACTGAGCCAGATCACCAGCTCCTAGAAAGGCATTTTATGATTTAAAATTTTTATGTTGATTTTTAAACTGATACATAATAAAAATTATAGTTATGTGGTATTTTGAAGCATTTTAAATTGTATTAAAATCAGATTATTCAAAATTTATAACTTCTTTATGGCAAAACAGTCAATATCCTAGCCTTTAAAAAAAAATTTGTTATGTTAGGGAGCCAAGCATGCTAGCACAGGCCTGTGACCCTAGCACTCAAGAGGCTGAGGCAGGAGGATCTCTGGGAGTTCAAGGCCAACCTGGACTAAATAGTTCAAGGCCAGCCTGAGTTACAATAATACTGGTAAGATTCTTAAATTTTTACGCTATTGTAGGGAATTGGTACATATATACTGCAGCTTGATCCTTTTTACTTCCCCTCCCATTACTACTGTTATTATCCACCATATTGCTGTGCCATGTTGCCCTAAAGTTGCCAGCTTTAGGTGCTGGGAATATGTATATTATATATATATCACATAGCACATGAACAGATGTACATTTTTGTGGTGCTGTGGATTGAACTCGACCTTGCACTTGTTAATGTAACAGGCCCTGCAAAGGGAATAGTTTTTCCTTTGGAGGCAGTGGCTGCTCCAGATGTCCTCAGCCCTAGGGCATAAACTGCCACCCGCACCTCAGCCTGTGATGGGTGGAGGAATCTTCAGGCACTGGACCGGAGGTCAAGTCTAGTTTCATTCCCTGAGGTGAGGGAGGAAGAGGTCCTTTTGGGAAGGAATGGTGCAAGCCTGGACATGTCTAGAGTTTCATTGTGTTCTCTCCTCACTGTTCCTCCCTGTAAAGGCCCTCTGTTCACCTGTGAGATGGTGATTTGTGCGAAATAGGTTTCTCCAGAATAAATTCTTTTTCCTTTGTATCAAAAAAAGTGGGCTTTGGTTTGGTCAGCAGCAAGCAAACACATCTGAGTATGAAATTTAAGTTACCTGTAACACTAACACTGGCATGTATTAAAGAAAAGGGAGATTAAAGATATCTACCCACTTTGAGCTTTTTCTTTTCTATTCTTTTTTTTTTTTGTTACTGGGGATCAAACTTGGGTCCTTGCACTTGCCAGGCAGGCAGTAGAACCACTGAGCTAAATCCCTGGCTTGAGCTTTTTTTTATATAACTTAATAAATAATTAAAAATGTATAGTGTATTGATTGGTAAGGATGGTGAAGGAAAAAGCAAGGAAGGAGATGGGGAATACTGACGCTTGCTTGGGACTTGGGTTTTGAAAAATGAGTGGTCACAGCTGGACGTGTGCCTGTCATGCCAAGCAGTCTGGAGGACAGGCTGAAGGATTGCAAGTTTGAGTCCTGCCTGTGCGTTTTAGCAACTCTAAAACCCAGCCTCACTATGTAAAAAAAAAAAGTTACTGAACCCTTGGGATCTCCAGAGTGCCATCTTTTTGTATGGTGTGACTGTTGGCTGGTGTGGGACCTGAAGGTTAAGTTGACCTAATGCCAGCCAGACCTGCTGAGTGAGTCCTCTATAAAAAGTCCAGAGAGTGTGCCCACAGAATGGTTTCCTCAAAGAGGGCATGGAGTGCTTGCTTTGGCAGCACATATACTATAATTGGAGTGATACAGAGATTAGCATGGCCCCTGTGCGAGGATGACACGCAAATTTGTGCAGTGTTCCGTATTTTTGAAAAAATGGAAACAAAGTCTTCGTAAATAAGAGAGGAATGGAGGGGTTGAAGGGAGGGCAGGGAATGGAAAAGAATAAGAGCTAAAATATGTAAAGGTATGTACATCTCCGATGATGAATGTCATTACATTGTATACCTAAAATGTACCAATAAAATTAATTTTAAAAAGAGGGCATTGAAGCTTCACACCCCTTCTCATGTGCATCTCCATCTGGTATGAACTGTTGTCCTCTAATAAGCACCCTTTTAATAAACCATAAACGTTTCCCCAGGTTCTGAGAGTCTTTAGCGGATTCATCGAACCTGAGGAGGTGGGGGGGATTTTATAGCAAGTTGGTCAAAAGCACCGGTAAAACAGCCTGGGGCTTCCTGATGGTGTTGGGAAGTGGGGGCAGTCTCGAGGGACACCCCAGCACCTGTGAGATCAAATGTCTCCAGGTAGAATTAAAAGATTCCCTGGCATAATGCCAGCACTGGGGAGGTTGAGGCAGGAGGATCACTGAGTGCAAAGCCAGCCTGAACTGCATCTCAAAAAACAAAACAAAACAAAAAAATTAAAGGATACCCAACCCAGGTCCCCTGAAGAATTGGTGGTCATACTTCTAGGTGACTGCAGATCATAGTTAGAAGTTTTCTTTGTTGATTGTTGAGTGAGAATATAGAAGAAACTGAGTTTATTTTTATGTTCTCTGCGGTGTCCTGATGTGTGTTGTGACACTCCTGTAATCTCAGCTGTTCAGGAGACTGAGGCAGGAAAATCTCAAATTTGATGCTAGATGGGACAACTAAGCAAGACTCCGGCCTCAAAAAACAAAACAAAACAAAACAAAAAAAACAACCAGTGGCAGAGATTGGCTAGCATGCGCCAGGACCTGGATTCAATTCCCAGTGTCACAAAAATAGGAAAAAAGTTATATTGGATTAGTGTAGTAGTAATAGAAGTAGTGGAAAGGGGTTAGGTTTTGGATGTCTCCTGGAAGATAAAACTTCAGCATTATTTATGGGCTGGGTGTGGAACGTAAGAAGGGTGAATGATGGTGTCAGAGTTATTGACTTGAGCAACTGGAGGGATGGAGTTGCTGTTTACTGAGACTGGGAGGCAGATTTAAGGTGAAGACTGGCTTTATTTTTGTAAGGTTTGAAATGCCATTTAAACCCACCTTCAGTTGGATGTGATGGTGCAGCTCTGTAACCCTAGGGCCTGGGAGCTTGAGACAGGAGGATCTCTTGAGTTGGAGGTGAGTCTGGGCTACATGGTGAGTGTGAGGCCATCCTGAGCTGCATAGTGAGACCCTGTCTCCAAAAAAAAAAAAAGAAAGCCAGCTTTCAAGTTGTACTTTTATTGTTTTGACTTCCTGTTTTGTAGCAAGGGAATGTGATGGGACAGGGAGAAATTTATATACTTTTCTGTAGCAGATAAGTTTTAGAAGAGGAAGGGATCTTGTTAGCTTCAGCCAGAGTGTGTGGGTTTTTCTAGGCCCCTGTCATCCTTTCTCTGACGTAGTGTAAGTCACATTCTTATGACTGGTAGTTGCATGTCACCTGTTAAGAAAGACTGAGAGGCAAACTCAAGTGTACTTGAAAATGTTGTTTTCCTTCCATTTATATGTGTTTTTTAGGAGAAAAAATAAGAGTGAAAACGTTGGAGCTTTGTTTCAGTTCATGCTGCATCTTTTCCCCCAATCCATCTGTCTTGGTTTAATCTCATTTTATAGGCTTCTGGTTGACCTGCTCTTTTAGGTTTGTTCCTTTGAAAAGCCACATTAACTGGTATTGGGAATGCTGACTCTCACTTTTTTGTGGCGACTTGACAAGACAAGTTCTGACATGTTGCCTAGTGGAGGTTTTACTTGAGTGCTCATGGACTTTTCCCTTCGCTATCGCTAGATAATTCTCCAGCTCTGCAGTCTTCTAGAGCGTGTTCTTGAGCACCACCCAGAGGAGGAGATAGTGGATACTGCCTCATTGGTAGCCAGGGGGAAGTAGGAAGGATGTAAATGTGACTTTGAGCTGCAACACTTTACTCATTAACATCGGTGTGAGGTTGGAGCATGCCCAAACCTGTTGCTGTTTCAGGCCTCACCAGAGGGAGGAGTAAATGGTTATTTAAGCTCTCCAGGTTTTTGTGAGTTTTTCTAAACTAGAAAGTGATACTATGGAGAACTTCAGCATGGGTGTAGAATGCTCTGTTACATGTTTTTGCTTTTTTTTTTCCTTGTTGACTGCTTTATAAATGCTAAAGGCAGTTGTCTATTTAGAAGAGATTATATATATTTTTTTCTTTTAGTTTTATCAACAGACTGAAGTATTTTCACTGCCAACATGACATCATATTCCACCTCTGCCCAGTGCTCAACATCTGAGAGTGCTCACAGGATCTCTCCGGAGCGAATCAATCAGGTAGATCCTTATTGGGCATTCCTGTTTTTCTATAAATTTGTAAGAAAACTGACAGTGTGTTTCATGTTAGCCATGGATAGTAGAGAATTTGTGGCCAGGTTACGTGAATTTGTTTCCTTTTTCGTTTGGCTGTACTTTGTTCTTTTTAAAAATCAGTTTGTTAGAATTGTAAGTTTATAATTTAAATTTAAATTCCCATGGTGGCAAATGCCTGTAATCCCAGCACTCTGAAAGGGTGTGGCAAGAAGAATGAATTTGAGCTCCGTGTGAGTGATTTATCCAGACTCTACCTCAAAATTTTATCTTATTTTTTGGTTTTGGGTTTTTGAGACGGTTTTGGTATGTAGTTCAGGCTGACTCCGAACTCACTGTGTAGTCCAGCTTGGTCTCAAACTTGTGGCAATCCTGCCTCTGCTTCCTGAGTGCTGGAGGATCTTGTAGAAAATCAAATCCCAAGTGGATTTGGGATTTAAATGTAAAACTTAAATTTGGGATTTATTTATTTATTTATCGGAGCTCACTATGTAGCCCAGGCTGGTCTCGAACTCGCAGTGATCCTCCTGCCTCAGACTCCCGAGTGCTGGGATTACTGGCATGCACTACCATGCCTGACTTAAATTTGGGATTTAAATGTAAAAATAAAATACGTATTGGGAGAAAAATGTATAAAACACTTGTGAACTTTAGAATGAGAGAGGGCTTTTTTAAATGTATGTATGTATGTATGTATTTGTACTGGGGATTGAACTCGGGACCTTGTGCTTGTTAGGCAGATAGCAGAACCACTGAGCTAAATCCCTGGCCCCGAGAGAGGTCTTAAGATGAAACAGGATGTTGTAAGAGAAAGAGAGAGAGGAGTTTGACTGTATAAAAACAAAACTATACTACAGGGCCAGCATGGAAGAGTGCAGCAATCCTGAGCCGACTCTGGCTGCATTGTTAGTCTGGGTTGAGGCGGCAGCAATGCTCACTTGTGGGCTCCTGAGGATGCCTGGATAAACGCTCATCTTAGGTGCTCAGGAATGGATGCTGCCAGCCAGTTCAGATAGTGTGAAGTATTCTGTGTGGGTTTCCAGAGTTCCACCCTGTCTGCCTTGGGGCTCCTGAGATAGAGTGGGACAGGCTCCAGACTGTAGTACCACATTTGTACCCCTTTGCTGCCCTCAGACACAATGGTACAAGGGCGATCTTCAAAATTGCAGGGTCATCCAAGTTTGCTGGTATCTTTTGGTTTGGCCATAACAGAATCTAATTCTACCATAGTCCATCATAGACTCACCGATGGATTTATTCTGCTGGAATTTAAAGGTGACATCTAAACCTCCCAAGAGTTGTTTGTGAGAACCATCAGCTTACCTGGCCTTTTATCTTAGACCTGGGGTTATCTGGTCTCCATTCCATAAGTTTTCTAAGAGTTAAAAGTTTCCCAGGTAGAATAATTTTTATTGTTCAGAAATATAGGGTAGTTGTTCTAGACCTTTCTTATCTGCAGACAGTTGAATTGCAGCTGTATGTAGGGTTATGCGGGGACACTCTGGGGACCCATGTACATCTCTTGTCCCACACTCAAAGCTGCCTCTTTTTGTTCTTTGCTGCCACTGCTGGCTCATTGTTGAAACTGACACTTCTTATTCAAAGCTCCAGTACCTTTGGCCACCACCATTTTAGATATACTTTGATAACACCTGGAGAGCTTATGTCTGTGCCATTTTTTGTCCTCAGTAGAAAGTGAAAGATTTTCTTTCACTTGGTTTTCCTGTTGCACTTACTGTTAACTTCCTTCTTTGGTCAGTTGTCAACCCAGTAGCAAGACTGGAACTTGGTCTTTAAACAAGGAGTGTCTGTATTCTGAAAAGCGTGAGAAAATGCATGATACAAAAGTCTATGATGAGTGCCAGTTAACTATCAAGCATATAATCAAATATGGTAAAATAAATCAAATTAGTGTGTGGTTTTAGGATGGTAGGGCAGTAAATGGCTGGCTTTGTTTTTCCTTGTTTTGGTTTTTCTTTACTAGTGTTAATTTTATAATACAAATGTCTGAAAATAGAACAAAAGCATCCAGGTTTATGTGGCTAAAGAGTCCATAAACTCTATAGTCAGAGTCAAAGTATGGTAAAGATGGATATACCACATTTTGTTTATCCATCCATTCACTGATACAGACATTTTGGTTGCTTCTATCTTTTGGGATGTTTGGGAATAGTGCTGCTGTAAACATTGGTGTACAGAAACTTAATTTTCACCGGGCTTTCAGTTTTTTGTGATCCTTCTACCTTAGCCTCTCAGAATCCTGGGATTACAGGCATGTGCCATCATGCCCAGTAACACTTATTTTCTTTACTCACCACTACTGGGGATTGAATTCAGGACCTTGTACTTGCCAGGTAGGCATGGTGCTACTGAGCTAAATCCCTGGTCCCAACACTTATTTTCTTAAAAAAAAAAAAAAAAAAAAAAAAAAAATTATAGCCATCCTGGTAGGTGTGATTGTACTGTTTATACATTGGAAGATTGTGCTATATCAAGTAATAAGTATTTCTTATTTTTTTTTAAGCATTTAAGGAATGCTTGTGGGCTTCAGAAACCAATCTAATTGGAAAGTAAATTGCAGATTTATTTTCTATGTTGTGTCAGGTACGACCAAAACTGCCACTTTTGAAGATTTTGCAGGCAGCAGGTGCACAAGGTGAAATATTCACTGTTAAAGAGGTAAGACATCAAAGAAATTCTCAGTGTTAAGAAGTAGAAGACAAGGGGCCAGGGATTTAGCTCAGTGGTTCGGTGGCCTGCCTTGCAAGCTCAAGGACCTGAGTTCAATTCCTGGTACCAAAAAAAAAAAGTAGAAGACAAAATACATAGTTCTGAAATCAGTTCTACTGCTAGGGTTTTATGGGGCAATTTTTGTTCTGTTCTGGATGGTAATGCTAAATTGAACCTCATATTTCCTTTAGAGCTCCTTTTGAAGTGCCTTATAAATGTAAGATTAACAATGAGTTCATTGATCTCAGAGTTAAAAAGCAAAATGTGCTGTTTACAAATGATACCGATTACAAGATATGCATCCAGCCAGGAATTTGATGCAGTGATGTTGCATTATAACTATGTCTCTTCTGCACACTGTCAGTTATTTTAAATTTTTATGCATTTAAATAACTTATTTAGCTTATGAAGTTTTTTTTTAATTTTATTTTTATTTTTAATTTTATTTTTGTACTGGTGCTTGAACTCAGGACCTTACACTTGCAAAGCATGTGGCGGAACCACTGAGCTAAATTCCTGGCCCAGAAGTTTTTTTTTTAAAAACGAAAACAAAAACAAATTAATTCCTTAAGTGGAAAAGACTCGACAGTAAATGTTAATTTCTTGGAACTGTTTGAATTCAGTAGGGTAGATAGCTAGTCCTTCATGAACAGAGGAAACAAAAGTATTTTTTTCCCATTTTTTTTTCTTTAAATGAAACATTTCATACTTATCAATACCTATCACTCCCAAACCATTATGCCTCTCAAGGAAGTAAGTCTGGACACATTTCACATTTTTTAAAAAGAATACCCATATTCCCATCATTTATTTTATATTTTTGAGGTGCTAGGGATGGAACCCAGGGATTTGTGCACCTTAGGCAAGTGCTCTACCACTGAACTATATCGTTAGTATCCTGCCCCCCTTACTGTAAGTATCTACATTTACTGAAGATCATGGGATTGTAGCAAGAAGGGATAGGATGAAGGGAAAAAGTATGGAAGGAGGAAAAAAAAGGTCAGCCCCCTTTATTTTAAATTGAGTGTACCATTTTGGAGTGTAAATTCTAATGCTATACATAAGATTTATCTGAAGTTTTACTAAAGTATAGCTTATGGATACTATTAAGTATTAGGATGAATTGTGCCATTTCCTTCATTTGCATAGCAGAGTTTGCCTTTGCTTACAGGATGAGTTCTTTTAGAACCGCAAAGGGGAATTTGATTTTTTAAAAAAATAGTTTTCATTATGTACATTGGAGCAGTTTGATACAGTGAGAATAGTAGTATTATGTACAAATTTAGAATAGTGTTTTAGAAGATTCTGTTTTAAATAGTTGGAGCTGACTTATTTTTTTCTGGAACTTGGAAGGGTATAAAGAATTTCCTCCTGTTTCTTCAGGTAGTATGCTTTTTTCCAACTTATTTTCCTGAGCTGATTAGATGTGAGAGTTCAGCTTAAGTCATTAATATGGGATATGTTTAGGGGTACGACTAGAAGTATCACTGTTCCAGTATAGTGGAACTCCTATTAGAGCAGTTCTTTATAGGATATTTAGTAATTCCTAAGAAGGTGGGCCTAATGATAAAGATAGCTGTTTTGGTCTGCTTGTGTGATCTGAGATAAGAACTTAATCATTAAATAAGGAAATGGTTTTAGTCTCCTAGGTTTAGAAAAACGTTTCTTTTCAATTGATTTCATTAATTTTGTTTATCATAAATCTACCCAAGTCTGTTGGCAAAAGGAATAACCTAGATGACATAAAAAAGGTTATATAAAGTGCTTCATCTGCATTTTAAAGTTTGAATTGTGAACTTAACCTGTGTTCCCTTACATTTTTTGAATTCTACAGTGAAGGCCAAATAGACTTAAGTATTTACTTATTGAATACATAAATTCTCTTTTGTGCACATACAGTGCTGATGGCTTATTAACCATTGTACATTTGCCAAAAAGAAATAAGTGGATATACATCAAAAGCCTGGTTTTGTGCCCCTGGACATGGAAAGTACTTTTTTGGCCCAGGCAAATTTAAAGTTTATTACTTCTGGTAATAGAACAGACTCCTTCATTTGAACTGGTAAGAAAAAATTTAAGGGTATACTACATAAATTCATTACTTTTTTCCATTGTTACATTGTTCATTTCTGGGCTAAAAAGTTGGGTCTGTGGATGGCCGCAAAGATGAGTGGGTGCACCTAGTGATTTGTTGTGTGACTGACCCTTCACTTTCTCTAGCAAACTACCTTACCTGCTTCCTAACGAGTAACCTGTGGCGTGGTAGCCGTTGGACAGATCGTTTCTTGGTGTCTTGTTTCCACGTAGGTAATGCACTATCTTGGCCAGTATATAATGGTGAAGCAGCTTTATGATCCGCGGGAGCAGCATATGGTGTATTGTGGTGGCGATCTTTTGGGAGAACTGTTAGGACGTCAGAGCTTCTCCGTGAAAGATCCAAGGTAAAAAGAGTGACAGATTGTGTATCTCTTTGAGTGTTTTTACCTGCCTACTTCATCTCTGTGCTATTTTGATTATTCACAGTTCCTTTAGTCAGCAAATAATGACCTGCATCTATTAGAGTAGCCAGCGAGGCACTGGGAATACAGTAGTGAACAGTCTGGTGTCCCGGAGCGCAGAAGTTGTGAGACAGCAGATGCTCTTCCTGTCTCACTCAGATAGTCATGCTACTACATGGTACAAGCACACTGTGATCAGTGCTGTACAAGAGGTGCAAGTAAGTAGTGTGTGGGAATTTCAGAGTGTGAGGAAGTGAAATTTCCAAGAGCTGAAGGAATGAGTGGATTGAGGGGTTTAGTTGAAGGGGTGCTTCATGTTAAACATCGTATGTAAAAGTGTGAGTAGGAGGGAGCTTAATGTTGCTTGGTTAGGATTTTGTGAAGCAGTTGTTAGAGAGCGGGAAAAGTGAATAGATTAGAGAAATGTAGAGTTGAAGAGCAGTTTGAGGTTGATGCTGAGCCTCATAAGAATAACTGAAACTGGGCATTGTGGCACCTGTAATACCAGCACTCAGAAGGCTGAGGCAGGAGGCTCACTGAGAGTTTGAGGCCATCCTGGGCTATGTAGTTCAAGACCAGCTTGAACTATGTATTGAAATTCTGTCTCAAAAAAAAAAAAAAAAAATCATAGTAGAGCTATTCTGACCCAAGTGTGACTTTCTCTAGTTGCATGGGGTGTGTGGTCATTAGTTTGTCTAGACAAAGTAGTTGAATAATTGAAGTAATTGAGAAGCAGTGTTCTTTCTCTTTCTAGCTTAGTAACAACTGTTCTCTTCTCAGCTCATTTGTTTTATGTTGTTAAGACTCCCTTCCACTTGCGTTCTTCAGTTAAAATGTTGAATGTTAAACCTCCCTCCTAGAAGGAAGGGGTTATTTTCAAAAGCAGTCTACCCACTTGGGTTACTGTTACTAATGAAATAAAAAAAATGTATATGTTTGTTGTGCTTGCTTCAGCAGCACATATACTAAAAAAAATGTATGTTTGTTTGTTTTTGGTACCGGGGATCAAACTCTGTACCTTGCGCTTGCGAGGCTGGTGGCGGAACTACTGAGCTAAATCCCCAACCCTTAAAATGTATATATTGATAAGCTCTTTAATGGAGCAGTATAGCCTCAAGAATCTGGGCATTAAATAATGCTTAAATATTAATGCTTAAATAATTAAGAAAAATGTTTTGAACCAGGAGCCTGAGGCAGGAGGATTGCTCCAAGTTCAGGGCCAGGTGGGCTACGTAGTGGGTTCAAGGTCAGCCTGAACTACATAGTGAAACCCTGTCTCAAATCCCCTCCCCACCATTTTGGGGTTGGATGTGGTGGCGCATATCTGTAATCCCAGCTACTCTGGTGGCTGAGACGAGGATTGCAAGTTTGAGGCCAGTTTGGGCAACTTAACAAGATCTTGTGTCAAAATATTAAAAGAGCTAGGGATGTAGCTCAGTGGTAAAGCACCTGTGTGTTGTATCTTCAGTACTGAAAAAAAATCTGGGAAGAAGATTTTGTCTCTCTATACCTAATAAAGTTGAGAGCATACCAGAAATACATTTAATATTTAGTAGGAAACCACTAATATCTTGAGAATGGGATTTGGAGTTAATTTTTTGTTGTGTTTCTTTAACAGCCCTCTCTATGATATGTTAAGAAAGAATCTTGTCACTTTAGCCACTGCTGCTACAGGTACGTCACATATTCCTTCCGTCTGTATCACAGTTTTGAGTTCAAGAGGGCAAGTGATAAGGAAGCAAGGAGGATCGAGATGGAAATGCTGTCTTTGGTGTGGCTGGGCATACAGAGTACCTGTCTAATAAGACATTACACCTTTTTTTGGCTTTTCACCGTGAAAAATTTCAAACCTTCTGAGCATAGAAAGATATCTACTTTCTAGAGCTAGCAGTTGTTGACATTTTGTTGTATTTGCTTTATCTAGATGTAACTTAAAAGTTTCTAGCAAGTAAGGCCTTTTTTCCTTCAAACATAGCAGTACCAAGAAAATTAATTAAAACCAAACAAACATAGCAGTAGCATCATAAATATACCTAGACAGTTAATAACATTAACAATAGTTCCATAATACTTTTTTTTTTTTTTTTTTTTTTTACCCACGATCAAATTCAGGACCTTGAGTTTGCCAGGCAGGTGCAGTACCACTAAGCTGCATCCCCGGCCCTCCATAATCCTCTTTGATAAGCCAGTGTATGGTTTGTTTTGTTTTCCCTAGTTATCTAAAAAGTGTTTTTAAAAAACTTTGTTTTTTGGTACTGGGGATTGAACTCCGGTCCTTGCACTTGCAAGGCAGGCCACCGAACCGCTGAGCTAAATCCCCGGCCCAAAAACTTTTATTTTTAACTTCTTCAAATCAAGATGCAAGGTCCACACATGTTGCAGTTGGCTCATAGGTGTAATAAGTATCTTTAATCTGTAAAATTTAATCCTCTTTTTTTATGTGTGAATGTGTGTGTATGTTTGGCTTGGTATAATTAATACCTTTATTCAATAACAAAACTTTGGTCTTTTAAAAAATAAAATCACATCATTCCTCATAGTCATGGAGGACAGAATACAGTATGTACTGATCAGATCAGGGTAGTTTGCATATCTTTTCCCCTGAATGTTTATCATTTTTTTTTGTGTTGGAAATATTCAGTCCTCTCTGAGGTAATTTGAGATATACAGAAATTACTAACTGTAGTCACTGCTCTGGTATAGAACACTTTTGTTTTCATGTCATTTATTTATGGAAGAAATAGGTCATTTGTCCTGGAGAGTTTCTCACATTCTTGAGATTGTATCCTTATAATTATTTAACTTCTTTAGCCTCCCTACTTTTGGTAAACTGGTAATGCTTGAGTAGATTCAAGTTTAAATTGCTTTGTAAATTTGTACTTACATTTCATTGCATCAGAGTCTGCTTCTCCCTCTTTCAGTTGTGTTAAGATCCTGTAGGGTCAGGTGCTATAAGTCTGACCCACCTGTTGTAAAGGTTCCTTAGAAACTGTCATCTAATCTGAATGCTAATTTGTTTAGCCCTTTGCTTGATTCTAAGCCTTTAGATATTGCCCTTTGAATTTATTCAAATTCAAATTGAATTTGCTGTGCACAGGACACTGGTTGCTTCAGAGTCTGCCTCCTGGGTGGTGGTGAGGTAGAGATGGATGAATTAACTAGATGCAGCTGAAATATAACTCTCAACTCTCATTTCCAAATAATGACACCACCTCCCTTACATGAAGACCTTTCCTTAGCTTCAAATTAGATTATAGGTTACATTGTCCTTTGGAGAAAGGACGTGTATCTCCTTAAATTGGCTGTGTTTACTGAAATAGATGGATGAGAATCCATTCCTCAAAAAGAGTATGCTTGTAGGGAGGGAAGACTTTGTTCTCATAGTGAAACATGATTTTGAACGAACATTGCCTTTTTTGAGGGGCAGTGCCAGGGATGGAACCTACAATTGAGCTACATCCACAGCCCCCAAACTTACAGTGACTTTTGAAGCTGCTCATTTCACTGAGTTATGGCCTGTGTTACTCCATGTAGCTGTGAACTTCTGTTTGAGAGGGAAAGCTTGAGGCTGCTACAGTAGCTTTATTGGAATTCAGTAATTTGTGAAATAATACAGCTTTCCTGGGATAGTTCCTGATGGCTTCAGAATATGGAGGATTTTATAATGGATGATCACTTTCAGTAAAATTTTTTTCTGATTGGTCTGTTCACTGAATATCTGGTGTGGATATAATTCTCAACTTTCCCCTCTCACTTTCTTCCTTGTACTTTCTTTGCAGAATTTAATGTGTCATGTTATAAAGAGCATTTCTGTAATAAACAATTTATGCTTACAAAAAAACCCCATAAGAAGGGTTGGGAGATGAAGAAACTTTAATAGGGTGACTGACTTGCCCAGTAGCAGATGTTGCTGGTAGGTGGTGTAGCAGAGACCTCTGCCTGCTAGGCCTTGCTCTGCCCATTCTGCTGCACACTAGTGTCTCCTTAGCCTGTGGCTGGAACAGAATTTGCCTCTCCCTGTCTTCTGAACATTTTTTTCTCTGAACATTAAATCTTTAAAATATTTTTATTACTTACTTAATTTACCATTTTGAAAAAAATGTGGACTTAAAAGTTGCAAAAATAGAGTTTCCTGATGCTCCATTGGCAACATTACAGTTACCAAAACCAGGTTATCCTCGAAGTAATTTTGGTTGACCAGCTGCTCTTACTTGTCCTTGGATTGGTGCTGACAGCTGGCCATCTCTGTTGAGTTTCACAAATTGGCTCACATATATTTTGCCTTATTTGAAAGGACAAATGAGAAAAATGGTTTTCATATGCCTTACACCTTTGCAAATGCTTAAACCTTTATGTTAATAGTTGAAGACAGTGCCATTATTCAAGTGAAGGTGGTTCTTTCTAAAACATTTCTCCAAATTTGTCCGTGTATACTAATAAAATGAAATACATATCATAAGCTTTGTATTTATATTAAAATTTCTTTTTACAGCTGGGCATGGTGGCTCACATCTGTAGTCCTAGTACTTTGGGAGGCTGAGGCAAGAGGATCTCAAGTTCAAGCCTACCTGGGCAACCTAGTGACTTAGTGAGACACTGTCTCAAAATAAAAGGGCTGCTGAGGCCCTGGGTTCATTCCCCAAATACTAAAAAAGGTTTTCTTTTTATTTGGTAGATATCCCAGGTAATTTCTTTTTGCTTCTAATTATTTTAGTCTAAGTAAGGTAATAAAGCTTTAATATTATAAGTGGGAAGAATAGAATTGCTTTATTAAAGGGCTGCTTCACCTGCATTGCATGTTAATTAGTTTGCTTTTAAGATCACTGTGATCAGAGAATACAGTCTGAACTTTTCAGTATCTCCACTTCTAGAAACAGTGTTCTTTATTATTAAATTTTGCATGTTTGCTTTGTGCAGAACAGCTGACTTGTCAGACCGGTGCAGAGTCTGGTTCTTCTCTGGCAATCTTTAATAGATGGAGTTAATGTTTTTCACAGATGTTTTCTCCCTGAATTTGGTAGTGGCTGAGGAACCCAGTCCACAACAGATTTATTTTGGTTCATTTCAGTTACATGTAGCTTCATGTAAAGAATGGATGAGATATCCAGGTCATTAAATTTCTGCAGCTTGTTCTTATGTGAAGCCAAGTTTTTAATCTTCTGTCTGCTTGAAGTTTGTAAGTCCCTGAAATGCCTTTCTCTCTTAGTCTAATGCAATATCTAAGAATTTCTCTCAGGTTAATTTTTTCTTTGCTTCTTTTTATTGTTCTTGAAAAAAAACCTCATCTGCTTTGTCTTTCTCTTAGGAAATGTTTGTAGTGAGACTTAAGTTTTAAAAAAATTTAGTCTATATTAAGGTGATGGGAATTTTAGATCATAAAATCATGATTGACACTTAAAATGTAAGTTTGTTTCAAGATGTTACTGTTTTATGAAACAAATGAGGGAAAAATCAGATTTTCACATTTTATAATCCAACACTTGTTTTGTTTTTGTTTTTGTGGTTCAGTCTAGCCTTGAACTCACAGTGATCCTCCTGCCTTAGCCTCCTGTGTGCTGGAATTATAGTCATGTGCCACCATGCCTGCCTTTATCATTTAACACTTAAGGGCCAGGGATTTAGCTCACTGGTGCCTTGCCTGCCTCAAAAGCACAAGGTCCTGAGTTTGATCTCCGGTACCCCCCAAAAAAACAAAAAATAAAACAATTTAACACTTAAAAATATAAATTAAATTTTAAAAATCAGACTTTGTGGGCCCGGGGATTTAGCTCAGTGGTGCCATACCTGCCTTGCAAGCGGAAGGTCTTGAGTTCAATCCCTGGTACTGGAAAAAGAATAAATAAAAATCAGGCTTTTTGTTGCTTATAACTTATGCAAGTTTGATAATATAGAAAGTGGTAAAAATACTCTCCATTATTTCCTGCATGGGACCACTTTTCCTGTAAAATTTTGAAAACTTGCATGGAAAAGAACATTTTTAATCATTTTTCACTTTCCCCAATATTACATCTTGGTATCATTTTGAACGGCGTCTGTCTTGGTCTTACCAGTTTTATTTTCCCCTTCTTGCAAATGAGGGCCTTGTCCAGCCAACGCGAAGTACAGCTGTAGGGACTGAGCCTGGCTTCAGGGTTGTTTGCTGAGGTCCTTTTTTCTGTGGAAAGAATGGTTATTACCAGGGAAGGTTTTCCTTTTGTTTTACTTGCTATCCAGATGCTGCTCAGACTCTCGCTCTCGCACAGGATCACAGTATGGATATTCCAAGTCAAGACCAACCGAAGGTAAAATCACCACATGGTGACTTCTTTTGTTGTACAGAGTGGCCCCTTCTCTGTACCTGTGGATCTTGAACTCCCAAGGCTTTTCCCTCGGTGTGGTAAGAATTTCGTAAGAAAAGTTCTTGGGAGTTCACAGACCAGGGACAGAGTGAACCTTCTCTGTTCTGCCCAGACAGAGCTCCAGTCTCTGACTCTTTCTTTGGGATGTAGCACTTCTGATCTTCAGTTCTTCCAGTTGTCTCTCCTTTGGGTTTGCGTGTGCCTCTGCATGTATGTACGCGTGTATGTGAGAGAGAAAGAGCAGTCTTGCATCCACCTCGGTGTCAGCAAACTGCACACGTATTAGATTTGTAGGATTGTTGTAGTTAAGCTCTTGTCAGGCCACTTCCTAAAGTTTCCTCAAACCTGGGGAAACTTTATGATCATCTTGGTAGATGTTGATGGTTTCACATGTTCTCTGCATTATGCCTAATTTTGTAGTAGGCTGTAGGCTTTATACAGGTAGCCTGTTTTTAAGAGTTGATTTCGGCCTTTGTGCAGAGGTTTTCTCTCCCCCTTAGGTTCAGATTTCTTCTAGCTCTGCTCGTAGTGGGTTGAGGAGAGGTGTTGTGTTGCTCTCGTTGATGACTGTTGTGAACTCGAGTTCTTTTTCTTGTGCTTAACCCATTGTGTTGCACACTAACTGGTGAGCCAGAGTGGAACTGCTACATCCCTTGGTCTCAGTCATTTCCATTGCACTGATGGGCACATTTCCCTTCTTTCAGCAAAGTGTACAGGAAAGTTTCAATGCCAGGAAAAGAACCGAAGAAGGTGATGTTCACATACTGCCTACCTCACAACATAAACACAAAAACTCTAGAGGAGGTAAGTTTTGGATTAAGGTTAGGAGACGAGACTTGACTCCTTCCCTCCCCCCCCGCCCCTTTCTCCTCCCTAGAAAACTGAAAAGCATAGTGCTGTCTCTGCATTTGCACACCTTTCGCATACATCACACTTCCTGTTCTTTTCTGAAGTCCTTTTTTCAGCCCAGTCAACGTTGTTAATTTGAAAATGGCAGTGTTCTCGTAGTCCATGACTGCTAGGATCGTGCATGACCCTTCTTCTCTTAGTTAGTGTGCTTAGTTTAAAATAGCTGCACACGTATTTCATCATTGGTGAATTTTCTGTATATACAGATTCAGCTGCCTTGGTTATTTTAATCTTAGTACCTTGTATATATTTGATGTAGTTAAACTTTTATCTTGGTTTGTATTTACCTTTTGAGGTAAAAGCTAATTTTTATAGATTTTGAAGCTTGTAAAAAGCTTGGTGAAGCTTGGTATCACAGAGCCAAGAAGAAGGTATAGGAAGCCTACTACTTCTGCTCTCAGCTGGCAGCCACCAGAACCTTATCATCCTGTTAGGTATCGTATTTTGGAGCTAAATGAGTTAACTGATACTTTGGAAGTTTTCCCAAAACCCTACTTTATATACTTTCTTTAAAAAAAAAAAAAGTATAAGACCATAAATTTCCCAAAGGTATTTTATGGCGTGATAGTTTCTAGTCTGGGTACCTGTCTGCTACTTGGATCAGAGGCAGGTTAGGCCTCTAACCATAACTTTCTAACCAGAAATTCTTTTAAGTGTTTAAATTACATTGAAACAGTTTGTCATGCTGGATTGTTTCTTTCAAAGTGCATTTGAGCAAAAGCTGAATTTTGGGCTCCCTATTCATTTTGAAACTATTGCAGTCTGTGTGTATGAAATTAAATATGTAATTTTATTTATGTAAATGCAGATCTTGCTTATTTTCAACCTGAAAGGCTGCTTAAAATATAAGAACCGACAATAAATATGAGCAGTCAATTCAAGCAGCTATGTAGTGTTCGATAATTTGAGAATAAATTGTTTAGAATTTTCGGGAAGTATATAGATAGGACAGAATTTTTATTTGTGGAAGTTTACCTATTTACTTTCCATTCACAATAAATTGCAGTGCTTGCATATATCAGAATAACTTGAATATTATGCCATCCAGAGTCTGACTTTTGATCATTTTATCAATAAGTAAGTAGAAAGATAGTTGAAGATTCCTTGGGCATAGGAACATTTATAATAAGCAGGACCAACATAATTTGTTGGTAGATGAGGTAGGTTGTGGCAGGGACCCATTTATTGCAGAAATCATTTCAACCATATGTACCTCAGCACATTTAGCTGCTGGTGATGGCCATTGGCAGGCCTATGCATTGGGAAGAGGAAGAAGAAAGTGAGAAAGTAAAGTTGGAAGTGTAAAGTACAATAGAAAAGATTTGAGGATGAGAAGAAAAAGAAAGATTTGTGTGGTAGCATTGGACTTGTGGTAGTAACTTACCTGGAATATGGTTCACGTGTATAGTACAAAATCTTTTACTTGAAACACATTGACAGGAGGCTTAATATTTGTGATAGTGTTAGAAACTTAAAAGATCCCACTGATCTAGGAAGGAGATATGCACACGTGTATCTACCAAATGATTAATAAAGATTGTTGCCTTTCTGGGCCCGGGATGTAGCTCAGTGGTTCTGCTGCCTGCCTCACAAGTGCAAGGTCCCGAGTTCAATCCCTAGTACCACAGAAAAAAAGATTGTTACCTACCAAAACATAAATTATTGAGAAATGTCCCAAATAATGTACCCCTAACAATGCCTTGACAGCCTATGGTTGCCCATTATAGTTTCTTCCACCCTGCAGGAATGCAGACTACTGTCCTGTTACTGTTTGTACTCCAGTGGATTAATCCATTGAGTCATACATTTGTAGGACTGTTTAAAATACCAGTTATTGACCATGTAGAAATGTTCTGGAATAATGCCATCTGTTGCTCAGAGTTTAGTTTCTTTGGTGAATGAATTATCTACTTCTAGTGTCATTGTTTGCTAAGGCAGCCTAAAGAGGAGGAGGCTTAGGCTCTGCCACTAAGATAATACTTGATTTCTGCTTCCTTTTTGCTGAGAGTAGGAATTTCTTTTTACCTGCCTTGTGAAAAGTTTGTAAATGTTGCTATTCTTGAAGGACAACTTTGGTTTTCAAATGTTATGTATATGTGATTATTCTTTTCATTTAGCTTCTATAGATGAAGACTTGATAGAAAATTTAACCCGAGATGAGACTTCTAGGCTGGACCTTGGGTTTGAGGAGTGGGATGTAGCTGGCCTGCCTTGGTGGTTTGTAGGAAACTTAAGAAGCAACTATACACCTAGAAGCAATGGCTCAACTGATTTACAGACACATCAGGTAAATTTGAGGTTTAAAGGGAAGTGTTTTTGGTTCTTCTTGACATGAGTTACATTCTCTAAGAATTGTTATTCATTGCTTTGTCTCTAAATGCTGTCTGTATATGTTGGAGGCCCAAATCTATATCTCTATTCCCTGACCTCTTTCCCATTTGCCAGAAGTTTGATCAGGCTCACTACTTAACACCTCTACTTTTAGAGGATTTGACATTTAACATGAACTCTTGATTTTTTTTTTTTAATTTTGCTAAACATTCCTTTCCTAGATTTTCCATTTTTGTAAATCTACAGTCTGCTTAATTATTCCATCCAAACACAAGGAGATACTATTTTCATAGGCCACATTTGGATTGTCAGCTTTTTGTTCAGAATCTGGTTATTTTTGCTACTTTTGTCATGACCTAATTCCAGCCATCATTTTTTTTCATTCAGGTATTGCAGCAGCCTTACCCAATAGTTTTATTTTTATTCTTATTTATCTTCTTGAACCTTGAAAGTGTAAACATTTTTTTCTTTGTGCAATGTATCTTTTTGAGATGGGGACTTATTATGTGAGTCATGTTCGCCTTGAACTTATTATGAATCCCAGGCTGGCCTGGAACATGAGATGATCCTTGTGCCTTAGCCTCTCAAGTCCCGGGGTTACAGGTGTGTGCCACTATGCCTGGCAGTTTGTTTTTAAATGGATAATTTACATCACTGTTGCATTTCTAATTGTTCAGTGGGTTCAGGAAGCAAGTAGAATAAAATCTAGACTCTTTACCCCAGCCTGCCTCACTCCTGTCATTATTCACTGCATGCCTTCCAGACACACCAGGCTTCTTTCTGACCCTGTGACCCAAAATTATTCTCCCTCTTTAGCAACTTAAATTTGTTCTTTGCATTTTCTGGAACATTCTTCCCCCACATCCTTTCATTTTCTTCTGTGATTTAGGGTTTGCCTCAGATGTGCTATCCTTGCAGAGGCTGTCCCTGGCTGCCGGTGCTGTCATGCTGTACTCTTCCAGTGGGGTCCACCCCCTTGTCATTCATATCTGTGCAGGAAGTGGTAGCCTTGCAAAACCACCCCTAATTAAAATAGCCTCCTCTCCAGCCACTCTGCTCCTTTATCTTAATCTTTATTCTCTGTTGTACTTTTTATTTTGTTAAAATATTAGCATAGTTTGTGTATGTATTTATTGTCCATTTATCCTCACTGAAATGTAAGGCCTGGGCTTTTGTATTATTTACCACTCTGTTCCCTTATCTAGTACCTAGAACAGTTTCTGGTACATTAATGGACATTTAGTGAGTATTTGTTGAATAAATGAATGGGTGTATAACAGTGGCCACATGATAAGTTGTTTCATGAATGTTATAGGAATGCATGTCATAAAGTGTTCTTAGATAAATGCAGAAAGTCGGTTTTTATACATTTTAAATTGTTGAAAACTTCAGAAAGTGTTGAGGCTAAAGGTTTGGGTTGCCACCAAATTCAGCTGGCAGGCATTCATTGACCATTAAAAGAGACCATGTGAGAAATAATGGAATGTTTTCTGAATTTGTACAGGCCTTCTTGTGGAAAAGAGTACTGAGAATGAATTCTGTTTACTTAAGGATTAATATTCCTTCACCTTTTAAAATTTTTAGTACTATTTCTAAATTACTATTAAAGAAAATTTCCTAGCACAAGATCTTGGCTTCAATTCCCAGTACCAAAAAAAGAAAAAGAAGAGAAAAAAGAAAATTCTTGGTAGCTAGGTGCCAAGTAGATATCTGTAGAGGAAAGGTGAACTGCTCTTGGAGATGTAATATGAAGACCATAGTTTTGGGTTCCTTTGTGTTAGTTCAGCATCTCTGATAAGCCACTGACTATAGAAGCTCACCTTTGTTTTTCTCTATTAGGATATAGGTACTGCCATTGTTTCAGATACTACAGATGATTTGTGGTTTTTAAATGAGTCAGTATCAGAGCAGTTAGGTGTTGGAATAAAAGTTGAAGCTGCTGATACTGAACAAGCAAGTGAAGAAGTAGGGAAAGTGAGTGACAAAAAGGTACGTTTGGAAAAATTTCATGTTCATTGTATTTATGTGTTCATAGTGTAATCTGTTCTGGTTTCTCTCCCTTTGTACAAGTTACATAATCCCCGCTTTTATTTTTTAATCTTTCACTATGTCTAATTTTAAGCTTTACATTAAGTTAATCAGGGCTGCCTTAGAAATAAGGTCGAGTTTCATGATGAAACTCTTCATTAGAAGCTACAAGCCACTCTTTTCCTCACTGTTTATCCAGTCTATTGTGAAGTGCTTCTTTTTTTCCCCTTAAAATCTTGCCTTGCTAAAAAGGCAAGGTTCTGAATTGTCTCAACATTCTATAACTGAATGGGAAGATAGATGATTTCTTTCTACCTATTTTAGAGTTATGAGAAAAGAGGAAAATTAGAATTCTTGAGTAAAATACACACCAAAATGGACTCTTGATAGGCTGTGTGTGTTCAAATCTCAAAAGAAATTGGGACGTAGACCTAGTGCCCAGCACATAGATTTTCAGTAAACAGCCATTGAATAAATACGGGCGAGAGGTGTGTTTAAGATGCTGTCTTATTTATCCATCCATTTATGGGATTCATGTAGGGATTTGGGCTGCTTGCTGTATGGCTGGGATTCTCTTAGATGAGCTGGAAGGAAGAAGTGCTGGGGCAGCATAAAGTCACATTTAGGGACTTTCATATAGAGAGGTAGGGCTTAAAATACTTTTGTGAGAATGTTGTCAGACGAGGTTCATAATTGTTTCCTAGTTGTTTTTATATTCCATTTACTGAACTGAAAAATTAGAGTTTTAGGTTTTAGAATTTTAAATTCTAAGTATTTCTTGACTTTTTGCTTCCTGAACTGTGGGTAAGTTATTATAAGAAACCATAGTAATAACTAGTTTTATTCTTGAAACTGAAAAGTAAAAGGTTTTTTTTTTTTGTTTTTTTTTTGGTACTAGGGATCAAACTCAGGACCTTTTGCTTGCGAGGCAGGCACCACTGAGCTAAATCCCCGGCACCAGTAAAAGTTTTAAATACTTTGTTTTCATTCTTCATGGTCTAGATTCCCAAGATAAAAAATTTCTAAATAATAATTTGTAGCATTTTTATATTGGTATTTTAAAATTTCCTTTAAAGTTGTAAATTTGGATACTTTTTCCCTTCTGAAGGTAGAGGATACTTGGTAACCCTTCTGGATGCTTTTTCCAGTTGTGCTGCTAAATACCAACTAAATACCAACTAAATGTGTACAGAATCATGTTTCTGGTCTCACATTTAAGCTATCCCATTTTAAGTTAGTGATGGAGGTAGAATGTGAAGCCGTTTTGTCTTTTTTGCTTTCAGGTGATAATAACCTCAACTAAAACAGATAAACTTTAGTAATGAGATGTCTTTGCCTTCACAGATGATTGAAATGGGAAAAAATGATGACCTTGAGGACTCCAAGTCCTTAAGTGATGACACTGATGTGGAAGTCACCTCTGAGGTATGAACATCCAGTTAGGGCTCTTTTGCCCTGGCCAACTGTATCTTTAGGTGATGTGACCCCAGCAGTTTGGTTGCATTGAGGAATGTCATTTTTTCCTGTTTCTATCTACCTTTCCTAGCTGATAAGAGCTTTTGCATTCTTTACATCTTGTTAAGGTTTTTTGTTGGAATCTGAGAAGTGAAAAGAGAGATGACCGTAATGGCTCCATGCCCCTGTCATCAGAACTCTTGGTTTTGATGCAGTGGAGATACACAGCATTATTTCAGTTTTAGTATATGTGCTGCCTAAGCGAGCACTGCACAGCATTATTCAAAGTGCTCCTGTAATATTTTCTCTCCCTGAACACCTCTCTGTAATCCCAAGACAGACTTGTAGGCCATCTAAAATTCTTTGATGAGTACAGAAGTAGTTTTATCAGTGCTTTCTTACAAAGAAGTAAATGGAAGACAGCTGAGTTTACACACAGTTTACTATTAGGGAAGATTTGGTATTCAACGCTAAGATTTATTACAGATTGACAGCTTTAGTCCAGACCCAAGTGTATACTTTGCTTTTTTTGCCTTTTTATGTTGTTTTCCCATTTCCTTTTAGTACTGTACTTTCTTTTTTTGTTTGTTTGTTTTTTGAGACAGGGTCTCACTATGTGGTTGTGACTGATCTGGAACTCACTGTGTAGCCCAGGCTGGTCTCCAATTCACAGTGATCCTTGTGCCTCAGCCTCCCGAGTGCTGGGATTACAGGCGTGCACCACCACGCCCAGTTTAAGTACTGTACTTTCTATAAACTAACTGATTCTGGGAGAAGGGTGGTGGGGCATGGATAAGGAGGAGACTTTATATTTTGTTGCATTAGAATAGAAACACTCTTGGGTTGTCCCAGGTACTGATCTTCGCCCAATCCCTCTGCACTGCTGTTGAGCTTCCTAACTCATTGCAAATTATATGCCTGTGCACACTAAGTAATAAAGTGTAATGTATTGGTCCAGTAAGTATTCTTGACCATCATACAAATAGCAGTAATAAATGTTTCCATTTTAATCAGACTTCTGTGGCTACTTGGGCCCAGAAAACCTATTAAGCAAATAGCCTGTATTTCACTGAATCAGAGATGCCATTGAATTTAATAAGCCCTATTATATGCTATTAAGAAAGAAAAAATGATGCCAATTAAACTGCTATATATCATCAATTACAAATTCCAAATCTTCATGAAGTTCCTTTGAATATAGCATTTCATATAAGATCAGAGGTTCATAAATTGGTGAGAGTGTTTGTGACTCTCTGGGGAAGATCCTGGTTCAGCAAATGATTGTATCCTTACCTCTCAGGCTAGAGTGACATTTGAGTTACATTTTTTTTTTTTTTTTTTCGTGTTGGGGGTTGAATTTAGGTCCTTGTGCTTGCGGGGCAGGTGGCTGAACCACTGAGCTAAATCTCTGGTCCTTGAGTTAAGATTTCTAAATCTGAAGTGCTTGGCTTTCATTCATCCTGAAAGAAAGGAAGTCTGCCTGTGTCAAATCATTGATCCTGTCAGACAGAGTCAGGCAATTACCCACATTAAATACGCGTAACTTGTTCCAGGTATCTATCTTTGAATTAAGGCATTTAAAATTTATTGAGTTCTAGTATATCGTCATTTGAATATTGAGAAGTACAGTTAGAACTGCTTGGAATTCAAGGACAAGGACACTAATTTTTCAGAGGGCATGATTTAGGCATACAGTTTACCTGTGATCCTCAGAGTAGTGAGAGAACATGTGCAAAATAGTAGTTTTCAAATTTCATTTTAGTTTTAGCTTCCTCTTGGCCAAGTTATATTATTTGTTAATTAGTAGAAAAAAAAAGAATATTGTTTTCTTCATTTTTTACCCTTATGCTACATAAAGGCATAAATTATAGATGGAAAGTGCCCTAAAAGTACCCTAAGGAAGGTAACAAGGAAAGCAAACAATAAAAATTTCACCCAAACTGGATGGAAAGCCAAAATAATTTAGCTTTTGTTTTTGTTTTTTGAGACAGGGTCTCACTATGTAGTTGAGACTGACCTAGAACTCACTATGTAGCCCAGGCTGGTCTCAAACTCACAGCGATCCTCCTTCCTCAGCCTCCTGAGTGCTGGGATTACAGGTGTGCGCCACCACACCCGACTTAATTTAGCATTTTTTCCCTGGAGATTAAAACCAGACCTTTATGCTGACATACATCCTTAGCCTTTTAAAAATACTTTTATTTTGAGACAGGGTCTTGCTAAATTACTCAGGCTGGAGTTGAATTTGCAGTCCTCTGGGATTAAGGACAGTACCACCATGCCCAACTTTTCTCAAAAAATAGCTATGTCAAAATTTGGCTTGAAAAAGGCAGTTGTGACGCTGTCAGTTTATAGCTTCCAAAGACTTTCTTCCGTGTGGCTGTGGAATTTGTCCAACTCCTGTGCTGGGCCGCTGTTGTGGAATGTCTGCCCCATCACTAGCTCAGTGCTGTGATGAGAACTTCACCTGCCGTCCTTTCCTCTCAGTGTCATGTTCGCTGCTGAGTATTAATTAGCTGCATTTGTTTCTGCAGGATGAATGGCAGTGTACAGAGTGCAAAAAATTTAACTCTCCAAGCAAGAGGTACTGTTTTCGTTGCTGGGCCTTGAGGAAGGATTGGTATTCTGATTGTTCTAAGTTAACTCATTCTCTCTCCACATCCGATATCACTGCCATATCTGAAAAGACGGAAGATGAAGGAATTGATGTCCCTGATTGCCGAAGAACCATTTCTGCTCCAGTTGTTAGACCTAAAGATGTTCGTGTCAAGGAAGACAGTTCCAGACTGTTTAATCCCTGCAGCTCTGTGGAGTTTTTGGATTTGGCTCACAGTTCTGAAAGCCAAGAGACCTTCTCAAGCACGGGAGAACAATCAGATAATATTTCTGAGCAGAAAGCAGATACAGAAAGCATGGAGGAGTGCCAGGACATCTTGAAGCCGTGTAGCTTATGTGAGAGAAGACCACGAGATGGAAACATTATTCACGGGAGGACAAGCCATCTTACCACTTGTTTTCACTGCGCTAGAAGACTAAAGAAGTCTGGGGCCACATGTCCTATATGCCAGAAAGAGATTCAGTTAGTAATTAAGGTTTTTATAGCATAGTTGAATCAATTGGGAAATGCAAGAGGACCAGGTCGTATTTCAGAACATCAGTAATGAGCCTGTCTGCTAAGTATGTTCATTCCCCATGTTTATTTATTCATGTAAACATTTGTGTTCTGGGTCACTTTTGCTTTATACACTTAGGGAATTTGAGAGTGAGTGAGTTAGAACTAGATCATCAGTTTGGGGACTTCATCAACCTGAAAAGATTCATAAGCTACTTCATTCTCCCTCCAAAAATGAAGGTCTGGGAGGAAACAACTGCCAGTATAAACTTAAAAGTGTATTTATTAATTCACTGAGCAAATTATTTGAAGACTAATTCCTTCTTTAGTTATTTTTATTTCTTACCTTCCTGTTAATGTACTCTTCTGGCACTAAAATCCAAGGTAGTTACTAGAAAAATACTAGGGCTAGTACTGAAAAAGCAAATTGTCTGATTTGTCAAATTATGAAGGGCTGTGAATCACTTTGTGCTGTACTAAGGCTGCTTAGTTCCGATAAACCAAGATGGAATATATTTTTTGTATTCTGCTCTTTGGGTGCTGGGATCAAACCCAGGGCCTTGAGCATGTGCTATATCACTAAGCTACATTGTTCTTATAAAAGTGGGGATCTCACTGTGTTGGCCAGCTGCCCCTCTCAGTCTTCTGAGTAGCAGGGACTACAGGATTTTTTTTTGTACTGGGGATGGAACTCATGACCTTGTGCTCGTGAGGTAGGCGCAGCGCCACTGAGTTACATCCCCGGCCCTAGCGATTACAGGTTCTTTCCACTGTGCTTAGTTCAAGAAAAAGAACACATAATACAAGAGATTTCTTCCCATGTATGTGTTAGTCAGTAGTTACCAAATAATTTTGTAACATAGCCCTAATTTTAGAAACTATATAAAGCAATTTTTTTTAAAAGTAGGCTTCCTATGTATTTCACTTCTGGAAACACCATGATAAATTAACCAATGCCATAGGTCTACACATCAGACCATTCTTATCATTTGTTTTGCTTCTGTGTCCATTACAAGAATAATGTCCACCTTGCCCCTGCTACCTTGGATCCAGTTAAACCTATTAAGTAATTGCAACCCCAAGAAAGTGTATATAACCTTTTGCACATTAAAAAAGAAAATCTAGGTATAGTTAACATATAATGAAGTGTTGCTTTTGAGTGAGTTGGAGAGATCAGTCACCATTCCAAGTTATAGAATGTTCCCATCTCCCCAAAATATCCCCTGAACCCCTGATTTTTCAAGCCATCTTGTATTTCCTGCCTGCTCTATATTAATTTCCTTTTGCACATCTTTATTTGAATTTTTAACATTTAAAGTACTTACAAAGGATATACCGTCCAAAATTATGCGTTTTATATATGTGCCTTGATCAAACTGGGCATGGCGGCACCTGTCTGTAGTAGCACTCCAGGAAGCTGAGACAGTAGGGTCTCAAATTCAAGCCCAATCTGGGGCAAATTAGTGACAAACCTAGAAAAAAACCAGAAAGAGCTGGGAATTAGCTCAGAGTGAAGGCCTGGGTCCAACCCCCAGTACTATGGGGGAAAAAGTCTTGCACCTGTAGATTTAGCTGATTATCAGTAAATTATAGAAAAAGGCCAGTTGCATAAACTGATAAGGTCTGTTCTCATTTCAAAATTAATCAGCCAAATACACTAAACTTCTAGATAGAAAGTATTTTAGTGCATACATAAGCATGGAATTCTTGGCATAGCCTTCTCAATTACCACTTCTATAGAGAAAGCACAGGATTTTAAACCAAACTCCTGTTTTCTTTGTCCTGAATGTCTGTTGGGATCTCTCCAGGTGTTTTTTTTTTTTGGTCTCTGCCTCTGGAGTTCACACTCAGCGTCAGTGGCTTACAGCAAGATTCAAATGAGTAATAGGGATTATGGTGTTTGTGGAAAAGGAAGTAATTAAGAGAAATGAATCTGTAATTCTCTTCAGTAATTTTAGGCCACATCAATTTTAGGAAAATAGAGAAATTGACTGTCTTCAAGTTGATTTCTTTTTTGCCATTTATGTCTGTTTAATGCATAGAAAAATAGTGGTATATCTCCTCCAGGAGTATGCATGACCTTATTTTAGACAAAAGTCCTAGGAAGTTGGCCTGGAGTTGTAAGAATCTCCTGGGTTCTTGTTAAAAGTGCCCAAATCCCCAGAGACTGACTGATCCCTACCCTAGAAGGGAGGCCTTTTCTTTCCTGTCATTGTAGATCCTAAACAGAAAGTAGGTGGAACAGGATGCCTTCTTACACTTAGTTAATTCCTGAGTTTTAAAACTATAAAGCACTCAATTATTTAGTCCCTCTTTGCATATGTAGCTATGTGACCCAGTGGTAGAGGTATTACTACAATCCAAGTGTCCTGTCAGTAAATCTTTCGTTTCTCCCTCCCACTGTTCCACTGTTGTTGTTTTGTTTTTTTGTGGGGGTGGATGGGTACAGGGGATCAAACTCAGGACCTTGCGCCTTTTTTTTTTTTTTTTTTTTTTTTTTGTGGT